ACATTATCTGATCAGCAGAGGCAGAATTTACAGTCGAAAACTGTGCGTTTTTTATAATTATATTTTTTAAGAGTTTCAACTTCGTATTATACTTATATGCACATACGTTTATACTTGTAAAAACATTTAGTTGATTTTATAACAGGATATCATATATAGTTTTAGAATTTCTTGAATGATGAAATTTGGTTATGCTGTTAGAATTCGGAATTGAATATTACAATAAAAGTTGTACTGCAAATATTTTGATGTTATTTTGTTAGTATTTGTTGTGATTTATTTGATTCCTATACATTTTACATGCGATATACTGCAAGCTTAGAAAAAATTGTTTTTTTGAATTTAAATAACAGTAAATATATAATAAAGAAAGTAAAATAAATAATAAACTATTCATTTATTAAGTTCATTTGATGTAGTACACAATTATTTACTCATAAATTTTTATGTTTCTTTTTTTTTTGGAAACGTTAATAATGTTACATATTTTTTATTACAGGATATATGACGACATAGCTGAAAAGTGTACATTTCTATAAAGAGACTATTTTTATTAGTTCTAATTATTAAACGATTGAAAACTTGGGTCAAAAGTTTTGCCAGGGGCCTAACTAAGTAATTCGATTTTCGTATTCGGAAAAATGGTAAGGTGGAAAAATGGTATTTTGGCTAATACGAAAATCGAATTAGATAATAATGCCTTTGATATTATAGATCAAATACATATAGGAAAAAAAGAAGGTTCAGCTTTCAAAATTCAACATACATAAATGAGTGCAACTTCAAAAATTGTTGTTATAATAGTTTCAATTCAATATACTATACTGTCTTAAAGGTTTTTGGAACCGCTCACGGCTTACGAACTTAATAAAGAGCTGTCGCTAAAGCTGGACTCATTGGTATCGCAAGCTAATCTGACATGATTTCAAATTATTTTTGACAAATCTTTGAAATATACTAGGAAACGACTTTATTTTATATTGTGGTCATAACGAAAATAAAATTTGTTAGGGGGGATTTCTTCAAACATAAAATGATTTATTTTTAATTCTTTTTTATTTTAAAATTTTCGCGTTTTTTTTTTTTCTTTTTTGAATTTATTTTTGTATTTTATTTTCTTTTTTTTCATATATCATAATAGATTCCATACTTTTTGTCATTCATATTGTGAGTCTGAAAACTTATAAATTAGTTTTTAAGTATTTTACTTTTTTTTTATTTCGTTTTTTTTTATTTACAATAACTTCTAATTCATTTTTAAGTTTTTGTTTTTCATAATTTTTATTATTTTCATTCATTCATAATGTTTAAATAAAGTTCCTTTATTTTTTTTTATTTTTTTACTTTTTTTCAAATTTATTTTTTTAAATTTTCTTAACAGATTTTATAATTTTATTCCATAAAATTTTAAAAGAAAATCAAGAATTACAAAAAAAATTAAATTACTGAAAATAAAAATTGTGTAAAAATTTTCCTTTTATTTTTAAATACAAACTATATTTTTGTTTTTTTTTTTGGTTATCCAACAATCAAATCATTTTTAAACCAGCTTATCATTATTATTATTCTGAAGTCACCATCATATTATGCGGTTGTTAACGTTATTGGCGACAATTTGACGCCTTGATAAAAAACGTAATTTGCATTAAAAGTATTCGAGTACAATTGCCGTAAAAAACAAGATTAAAACTAAAAATACAATCGATTTGCATTTTCTGTCAAGCTATGCTTTTACTTCAATTGCAAAAAAAAACATTTTTTCGATTTACAAACATTCAAATTACGTATAAATTTTTTAAAACTTTTAATTTTTCTTCTTTTATACATACTTTTATGTATTATTAAAGTCTAAATTTTAAAGACCAATTCCATTCAAATTAGATCTAAAAATATTAATGAAAATGGTGTTTATATTAAAAATTGTGTTACGTCACAACAGATAGGATTCAGTAATTGAAACATTTTTGTACCCCAGCTTGATTAAGAAGCTTTTTTGCATTAAAACTCATACACAAGTATTCCTGCGTAATTTGAATGTCAGATCAAAGTTATAATTTCAAAATTTTCAATCTCTACAATATAATATACATATCTACTAAAATGCTGGTCTAACATCAACTTAATTTATTCAGCATTATACTTTTTTAATTTACTGAATAAACCAATTTGAAGTTAGTTTTGTATTTCACCGGTAAACACCCTATATATCGTCAAAAAAAAAAATAAAAAAAGGCCGCCTTCGTTATTTTCTCCGTTTTTTTAAACTGATGAAAACCAAATAGCTTAAACAAAACATATTATAACAATCTTGCTGTAATGGAAACTTTTTATACGCATATACCCGTAAACAAATTAATTTGAATATTGAGTATGTACGTACATGAAAAATTCAAATGTTTATCCCTTAATGCTATAATTGTTCCTTGATTTCATTATTTTCAATAATTAAAGGTATAACAATTAGCACAGTACATTACTGAATAAGTGAAGTTATGCTTCTGCATTTTGGTAGACGCCCTAAAATTCATGAATATTTTGAATTCAATATATAATATGTACATATATAAATTACATTTGATGATAACAAAGTCATATTAAGATATAGTTTAAGACTATTAATCACTTATCAATAAAATATGTTTTGCATGCTTTTAAATACATTTAACACGTTTTACTAGAAAAACTATGAAAAATAGAGGAAAATGCTATGCGGGTAAACTTTTAGATCTCACCTTAAAGCATCGGGGAAAAAAAACAAAATAAAAAAATAACAAGAATTTCGAGAAATTTTGAGTTTTGTAAAAAAAAAATTAAAAAAAACAAGAATTCTGATTTTGACGAGCTGTATCTCAAAAACTATGGCGATGAACAATCAATCGCTTGTAAAACAAGCTCCCAGTAATAACAAGCTCCCAGTAATAACTCTATGTGGTGTGGTTCCGAAGTTATAAGCATTTATGTATATGCAGGAAAAGTTCGGTACCTTTTGTTTTCAACAGACTGCAGCTCGAAAACGAGTATATCTGCATTCCCCCCCCCCCCCCCCCCCCCCTTCACCGTCCCATCCATAATTTTTTGTTGGAAATTGATCAAAGAAGCATCCCTGAAATTATTTGCCATCTTATGCGAAACACCCTGTATATGTGTATTGCTTTTTGACGTAAGTAGTTAAATTAATTTTTTTATTAACGTATGTTTTTAATATAGTCACAAAAGAATGTGTGTTGTGTTGTATTTCAGAAAGTAGATGAAAATTTTGTGAAAATATTTTGGAATTATTGAAATTTTTTCAAATTATAATTTTATAATCAGTTAACTGTTGATATATTTTTTCAAATTTTAAAATTTATGTTTCTTCAGCAACAATATTTGAATACAAAAAATTTCCTTTAAGCAACTGAGCGCATCTAATAAGTTTTATACTATTATTTTTTTGAACAAAATATTAGATTGTAAATATAATGTTTTGCCTGTAGAGGTATATGTAAACCTTTCAAATTTTACTTATATTTTGTGACTATTTAACTACTAATATTAAAATAAAACATAACAAAAACTTTCTTAATAACTTTCAAAATAATTTTCTTTTTCGGAAATTTAACATACATAAATTCTGTTTTATTAAACACAAGTATTAAAATACAAATTATATGATTATATCTACATTTTTCAGTAAACTAATGATTTTTTTACGTCTCACTTTAATCCTTAAAAAATTATAATGTAAATTCTAACATAAACTTTAAATTAAGTAAAAATATTTCATTCAATTTAAGCATTTAACTAATACAAAAGCAAAAAAAAAATTATTTGAAAAATAAAAAAGACTAAAAAAATTTTATCAGGTTAATGTGTTCATCTTTTTTATACAATATAGATAAACAATATAGATTTAGAATTTTACACATAACATAGGGGTTAAAGCAAAATCCGAACTAACTATTATATATCAGAAAAATTAACTCAGGTATGAATGTGTAGTATGTATAGAAAAATGCAAAATAAGGCCTTTCATATTAATTTCTTTTGTATTTAAAAAAAAGGATTTAAATTTTTTTAGTTTTTTGCTTTGATTTGCTTAGTTTATTCTGGCTTCCTAAATTGTAACGCCATAGCCTATATAGGATGTTGCTAGAAACTTGCGTTTTGTAAACATCTTTGACCGAAATGTCCATTTGAATACAATACAAGAATTTTCAAAGATAAAAATATAAAATTTTTTCAAAAACTTATAACTCTTAATAAACCAATGAAATCCGCTATGTCATTGTAATTATAAATTGAAAGATAATTTTTCGACCTTTGGTTCACCCTGCTAACTTCATCCGCTTGGGAGATACGTATATAAGCTTTTAAAAAAATTTTAAGTTTTTACCTTTAATCCTTTTATTGTCTTTTAAGGACATTTAAGCTAAAAGTGGTAAACAAAAAATTTCACAGACTATATGACGTTGAACTAATAATGTAGTTATCATCTGAATTCATACAACATATTCGCTACAAAATTCAAAATTTTCAATCTTTTTTACTAAATTGTTTTAATATAGAGTTTCTTTGTTTTTTCCTCGTTTATTTCCATGAATTTTGCTTTTTTTTGATAATAATTTCATTGAATTTTAAATGATTTGTGTTTAGCTTTGTTTTTACATTTTTGTCATAATAAAAGTGTGTACTTGTTTTTCTTTGAATTGTTAAGAATTTATACATATATGATTATAATTCAAATATATTATAATTTCGTTTATTTTCGTTTCTTTTTTATATTTATTGTATTTATATTATATTGTAATATTTTTACACAATTTTGGGTTGTTGATTTTTTACATTTTAGATTTTTTTCAATTTGCTTCAAATTCTTTTTAATTCCTTTTAATAATTATATATGTATATTATACAATGTAATTTTATTGTATGTATATATATTATATAAATATAATACATACATATATATATATATATATATATATACATATTTATATATATATAATATATATATATATATATATATATATATATATATATATATATAGTAAAATATATATATTCCATAACGATAATTATTAATAATATTAAAATATTAAAAATTGGTAATTATTTTTTTTATGGCATTGCATACCGTTGAGTCCATTCTCTAGCATTTCGTATTGCTTCTGCCTCATTAACTTTCCATAATTCAGCAACATCATTTGCTAATGGATCATCTGGATTTGGGGCACTTAACAAGGCTTGAATCGATAGCAATACTGTACGTATTTGTAATGCTGGACTCCATTTATCTTTTAATATATCTAAACATATTCTACCTAAACGATCAATATTTGGATGATAGATTTTTGTTATAAATCTAACTTTTGGTGCTGACATTGGATAGTCTTCTGGTAAAAATAATTCCAATTTAAATAAACCGCCTTCAAATGGTGAATCTTCTGGTCCAGTTACAATAACATGAAAATATCTAGCATTTGCATCATCTGGTACAGCTGATATACCTGGAACTGGCTCTTGAAGTAAACGTTGAGTTTCTTTGATTATTCGTCGAGGTAAAGCTGCCATGGTTTTTATTATACACACAAAGTTTTATATTTATATATATATATCTTTATATGTTTAAGTATACTTAATTATGATTTATCTTTTGCTTTTACAATTTTAGCGGATTTATGCATGCAAATCAATTATAATTCTAATATATAATTCTTTTTTGAATAGTTATGATTTGTTTTTAATTTCTAGGGCTTATTTAGAAAAAAAATGTATTTTAGCGGCTTATTATTTTTTTTTTGGAAATTGTTCTTACATCTATAAAATTTTATTTTATTAAAAATGCTTGCTTTTTGTTAAATAATATTATGGTGATAACAAAAATAACGGAGCATAGAAAATAAAAATTGTAAGGGCTTTTATTTGCTTATCAGTATTCTAGCAACTCTTTTTTTTTAACTTCTTGTTTACTAAAATTTTAGGTTTTTTCTTAATTAAATAAAAATTACAAATTTTTTTAAACTATTATACAAAAAGTATTGTAAGTTTTAACAAAAATAGAATAAAACCATGAAATAATATCAGGACATAAATAAATTAAAAAATTCCTTTTTTCTTCAATATGTAATATTTTTGATAAATTCTGATACTACTTGTTTATCAGATCCTCGGACAAGTGTTGACTCTAAAACGATACGAAAAAACAAAAATAAGAATATTAGTATGCGTGTATATTAAAATATGAAATAAATAAAAATTTTACAGTATTTCTATTTAGTATTTTACAGTAAAATGCTATTGATCTTCCCATTTTTAAATATATTTAAAAATAATTTGGTATATTAGTTGGGAAAAAACACCATTACAATAAGGAACATATTTTTTTTATATTCTCATTCTACATCTGAGGATTGTAGCAGAGATCTTTTTGTGATTTGCAAATTTTTTTAATTTGAAAAAGATAACATGATTTTATAAAAGTGTATTGTTAATCAATTGGCGCGCTTTCAAAGAGTATTCGTATCCCACTCTAACTACTCCATATTATGTTACATGGATCTTATTTACAAACTATGAATTACTTATTAATCCAAATGAGGAGGATATAGTTGTATATATTTCATTACATATGCATATATATACACAATGCACAATTTTAAAATAAACGCATTCAGCACATTTTGTATTATTCAATACTAAAACTCGCATTTGAAAGTTAAAATTATGTTGAACTTCACGATTTCATAGCATTGTGTAATTTCATCATACTAATACTTAATTTTAATTTTCTGATTTAAGTTCAAGAGATGGATGCGATATTTATGTTGTTTGTTTGTATACATATATTTTTACATATTTATATTATATGCACACACTATATACCTACATTTTCATAAAATATGTAAAAATTGTACTTCAAATATATTGAGCATGTATATACATATGTATATACACATGGTGACAATTTTTTAAATATTCTAAATATATGTATGTATAAAAATGTCTTGAAATCACACTGTAAAATTAAGAAAACACTGTTAGAATTCCTTTTTTCATTATTTTTAAAGTAAAACAATAGAAACAATTCAATTAGTCTTTGTTAGTTTCCAAAAAAAAAATTTATTACTTAATAAAAAACACAAACAGTAACATTTTGGTGAAAATTTTCTTATAAAATTAATGCTTTTTAGGGTTTTATCGAAACAGTAAGTACAACATGCCTTAATATTAATTATCGTAAAATTTTGGAATCGGGGTGGAAGGTGCACAGGTACATATAAATGTACATATGTATCTAGGTGTAAGGATTTTTATAAAAATTTTAAATAGGTAGCTTTTTCTCACACTACGCTAAGGAAAGTGGTTTTTTCTACAGAGAAGCAAGAACCTTTTATGCAGAACAATATAAATTTCAAAAAAAAAAACCTTAAAATGTGAATTCAAATAGTTCGATAAATCAAAAAACAGTCTTACCTAACCCTAAAGTTTTTTTAAACACACTAATGGTCTTTTTTTTCAGAAAATTATTGCCGATATTCTTACGATTTCCATATTTTAATTATCCGGTGTAAATATTACATACTTACATTTATTAAATATGGATGTGTATTTTTCGTTCTTCCTTTTTCCAATAAAGTTGTTTTAATTTAGAAAAATTTTAACTTTTATTAGAAATTTAATTTTATTCGGTTTTCTTTTTTGGTAGAAATTTTAATTTAATTTAAAAATGAAATGCAAATTTTTCTTCTCTCTTTTTTCTTTTTAATTCTTATTTTTTACTTCCTTTTTTTTCCTCAACACAATCAACTAAATAATTTTTTTTTAATTCTTTTGACAGATACACAACAAACGAATCGCATATCAAAAGAATAAAAACTAAAATATCACGTCATTACAATTTCAGGGCTGTGTGCTGTCGTTGGCACCAAACAAAAAAGAAATTCATATTTTGGCATGCAAGTGCCACTTACACATGAAATTAAATATAAGGAATTTATTTTATAAGGTGTTCACATATACAATAAAATGCAAAATACTGGTCACATACAAAAAAATCTATAAATCAAAATGTACAATAAAGTTTAAAATCTGAGCTCTATTAGAAAAATTAAGTCTGATATGTACATATGTCGACCTAAAGTTTTTAAGCAAATTGCAAATTAGCTGACCATATTATTAAAAAACCCACATAAAAAAATAATTACAGCCATTTTTTCACTTTTAAAAAGTTTTACAGTAGCTCTAATGAGAATGGAATAATTTTTATTAAATCTATTATAAAATCTAATGACTATTTAGATATCATATTAAAATTATTTCATACTTCACGTAAACAAACAATATTTACAACACAGAAAAACAATAAACCAATAATCACTACCATAATATTTCTTATTTATGTATTAAATTTTTGTATTTGAATAAGTTAAAATTAATTGCAGTGTGTGCTCTATTAACGTAATATTAACTTAATTGATGGTAACTCCTTAAATTACTGTGACATTACACTTTTAATTATAACTTAACTAAAATGAAATAAATCTCTTAAAAGAATACATGAGGTATTTTTTTTTTGCAAATTAAACATTAAATTGATATTAATTGATTCGTCTGTCTTAAACTGAGCTACTTCCACCTAAACCATTTCTCTTTGGGATTTTCATTAGTCTGTCTGATACTAGGCAGAGCTAATTTTTTTTGACATTTCAAAAGCACCTTCACGCTAAGTAATATGGTCATTATTGAAAAATTTGCCTATGGAATTTTGAATAGTTTTCCCTGTCGAATAAGAAGCAAATATTCATAATTGTAGAATTTTTAATGTAAAACACAAATACACCATGAAAAAAGTCAAACAATGAAATTTTTACGAGGCAAAAACGCCAAGAAAAAAAACAAGTTAAAAACTAATTCTGGGTGAAACAGAAGTAGTCGTTGTCAATGGAGTTGACATTTTGATAGCTATTTTATGACGTTTACATGTTGATTATAATATCGTTTTGTTTTATAAAGAAAATAAGGAAAAAGAAATGTATCATATAGAAGAAATATTATAATATCGAATATCATCTAATAAATGTAATCCTTACCTATTTCGAAATCTATTTGGATAAAAAATTGTGCTAAATTAGACAAAATACAACGCCATTTTATGTTTTATAATTTAAAAAAGCTATCAGTCCAAAGGTAGTTGAATTGGAAAAGCTAATTTTTTTTTTATTTTATTTAATTTACAACAGATATGCATTTGGATATGTTAGCAATTAAAACAATTTTGAAAAAATTAGCAAAGCAATATCAGTCTTAATATTTAAAATAAGAAATAATAAATTAACGAAATTCCAATCAGTGGCACTTTTTGAATAAAATTTATGTAATACGTTAAATTACATTGTCGCTCACAAAAATAGACATTAATCGAGATAACAACTTCAAAGCACGCATTACAAAATAATTTTGCTTACTTAATTATGAAAGTGAATATTTCCATACTTAAGGTTTGCACATTAAACACGTTTATATTATATACTATAACATTATTCGTTTGTTACCTATTTTTAAAGCATTTTACGCGTCAAATATCTTTATAGTAGTTATAAAAAGAAAATTTCGAGACGTTTTATTTTGTTAAAATTTATTATTATGCCAAAAATGCATTTAGCATATTCTCTTAAAAACGCTCAATGCAAAACTAACTTCCAATATGCTAATTTGGCATTAAAAGTGATAATTTTGCAATACTATGATTATTTATAATAAATATGTCAGAAAAAGTGCGTTATTATGTGCTGTAGTAGCGTCGGCGGCACTATGATGACGTTTTAGTAAGCCGCTTTTGTGTAATATATATATATATATATATGTTTTTGCAACTATACATACATACTATTTTTTGATACGTATATGTACATATACAGTTTTAAGTTTGACAACATCATAAGCTAAAATTTTTTTGTTTTTTTTTTTTTTTGTTTTTGTTATTGTATGTACATAATAATAATTGCTATCGCAATTTTCGTCAGTCAGTCAAGTCAGATGTCTGTTTATAAAAGTGTATACACAATAATAGCTATCAAAATCGTATGAAATATTTTTTTTGTTTTTTTTTTCGTTTTTTTTTGTTGTATTTTATGCATTAGAGTTAGACTTTTGGGTATTTTATCTAAATATAAAAAAAAGAAAAAAAATTTGTAATTTGTAATGCTTAAAATTAAAAAAAAAAATAAGAAATTTAAATATCTAATTTTAATAATTGGACCATTGAATTTTAAAAAATTTCCATGTTTTTAAAACTAAAAAAATGTTTAAGTGAATTTCTTTTTTTTTAAGAAAACAAGAATTTTAATGTAGATGTAGAAAAAAGGTTGTTTCCATTTAAATTATATTGTGTGGAAAAATAAGAAAATTTTTCGTATTAAAGATAAATTGAATATTTTTAATAAATAATTGACATTTTCAAAAGCAAAAATATATATACATATATATGTATATGTATTATACGAATGCAAATACTGGCAGTAAAATAGCTGGTTAATTACATATACGTGTGTGTATGTATACATACATCTACTTAGTATTCATATTACGAATATTTTAATAACCAAAAAACGCGAAAAATAAATTTTAACCTAATGATTTTAATTTGTGAATTTAATAACGTTTTTGTTAGAATTAAACGCACCTATGTATACCTCACCATCCTACCGATATTATTGTAATCTACCCACCTAATAGTTAATGTGAATTATTTGTGAAAAGTTCAAGAATAAAATACAAGAAATGCTAATTGGATAAGAGATTTTTTAAATATCTTTTTGGAGATGCCCAAATTTCTTAAATTAAATAAATAAATTTTCATTAATATTACAATTTTAATTTTATTAATTGGTTTAAATTTTATTTTTAATGTTTTAGATTGTATGTATGAGATTTTTAAAGCTGGTCTCTTTTGTATATCCATTTAAATAGGTACTTACCTACCTACCTACCTACATAGGGACCTTTCATACTCATTAAAATTAAGTACTTTGAATCATGTTTGAAACACGAGAAAACACAATAATAATTTGAAGAAAAAAACGAGAAGAAGACATTTTTTTTTAGAAAAAGTTAATGCAAAAAGATACAAAAAGATTTGTGCTAGTGTTATGACATTATTAAGGCCAATATAGAGATGAAATATTTTCCTTTTATAATATACAAGTATTAAAATTTAAAATTTACAAACTGTTTGTGCACCACCACGTCAATTATTATTGTTATTGTTGTTATAAAAAATGAGCTTAATAAGAAAAAGAGGAAGAAACCTCTTAAATATTTGATAAAATAAAATGTACCACCAACCACTTAATCCTATAATTCATATATGTTTGTATGTATATATATATGTATATTAATGAGATGACTTTTTTTTGTAAAATGCGAATGGCGGAAGAAGAATAACATTATTTTTTTTAAAGTGTTTTGTGTTTATTTTTTTTTTGTTTTTTTATAACAACATTAATTAATGTTTTCCTTTTTACACTATATGCATATTATAAATAATAATAACAAATTATTGTAGGCTGCTCTTTAATAATTGAAAATCTAAAATAACTGAATCTCATAATAAACGAATAAAATTTCAATAATAAAACAAAATCTACTATGTACTACCTATACTAATTATTCAAATATTTTTGTGAAGAAAATGTTAAACATATTTGAATAACAATAATAATAATTTACGAGGAGATGGAAGTGGTCATTTTGGTAAGTAAAAAAAAATTAATTTTAATTAGGGAAAAATATTAATAAAATTTAAATAAAGTACCTACACAAAAGGAAAAAAAAGGTTTTCAAATAATTAATTGAAGGACAGGAAAAAAGATATAACTTATGTGGTATATAATATATGTTGTGTATACAAAATGTAATAATATCCAATATATATATGGAGAGAAAGAGACACAAATAAAGAATTAATAGTAAAGACTGTGAATTGCGGAATGTTAAGGAAAGAGGGACAACAATATTTATAGTAACCTAATGTTTTTTTTTAGCCAAAAAATTTTTAAAAAGGCTTGCCAAACCTACCGTTAATTATACAAAAAACCGTGGAAGAATTTTTAATATTATCCAGTTCAAACATCGTGTAATTTTAATTTTTGTATTCCTCGGGTAATTTTTAGTTTTTATATGAATTTTATGTTAAAAGAAAATATGAATTTAATGGTAATCACAAAAACAATCATATTCTGTTAGTTGAATCACTTTAGGTGGTGGTATTGAGAGTATTTTGTTTTTCGGTAGAACATTTCACATTTCAAATTTTCAATTTTATTTAGAATATTGGTTAATACATCAATGAAAATATTTTGTGTTGTTAACTACTCACCTTTCATTCTTAAGTAAGTATATGTAAGTAGGAAATTTAAAATGCTGTCCAATCTATTATTCATCATTTTGATTGGCTTAAAACGTTTTTGAAAATATGGTTTGATCAACATAGATCTTCGCATTTAAAGTAACCTTAAAAACTGAAACTTTATTTATGTTTCAACTTTGAACTTTATTTAAGTTTTCACTAAAAATTCAACTTTCTGTGCTGAAAATTAGTGTTGAAATACCAAGTTACAGCATTGTGTATATAGAGTGTAACACACTTATTAGAAATGATCATAAAAGAAACTCCCATTTCAAGTAAACACTTTTTCATGCACTTGTCATTTTACATAAATTTCAATGTCTGTTTCTTCTTTTAAAAGAAACCCTCTTATAAGAAAAAACCTCTTAAAAACGGCAATAGTGAATGACATTAACACAACATAGAAATTCACCCTCATATAAGAGTGGACAAAAACGGAATTAAAATAAAATTAAATAAATCACTTTAAATTTACAGTACATTTTTAAATGTCGATTCAAACAAGTTTTTGTTAATCATATTTTGTCATTAAGTTTCCTATGTGATTAAATGTAAATGCTTATATAAAAAGTTCCGCTTATACTCGTAAGAAACAAAATGAATAGTTAAAATGTAGTTTATAGTGATATACAGAAGACAAAAATGTGTAATTACATAAATAAACTACTTTATTGAGTGAAGCTATTCTAAAAGATTTTGTGTTGAAAGTTTTTGATGACAACGCCACTTAAAAGAAGGTATATAGTACGTTTGTGCAATTTTCTTCTGTATATCACTATAAACTACATACAAAATGGTTATAGAGAATGGACTGCATTAGAATTAATACAAAAATCGCGTATAATTTCAATTCTTATTTCGGGTAGTTTTCGTATTTTCTATTTGGCAACCCCGATTAGGTCCTAAGTTTAAAATTTAAATTATTTCAGTTTACCATATATTTTTTTTTGTTGAACATAAAACTAATTTAAGTACATATAATATAAAAGTTAAGTTAAGATATTGAAATAAACACCCCCCACCTAGAATTCCTACATTAAAAAAAGAATTTCTTTATGTTTTTTTTGTTTTTTGGATAAAATCTTTTTACTTTGAAGATCTTCAATTATTCTTATACTAAAAAATCTTCAATAATTCCAATAAACAAAATGATATAAAATATTTTCCAGTTTATAGCACATACTTATACTCGTATGTACATTCGGGCATATCAATTCCGTGTTGTCAAAATAAACAATGATATATGTAAATATATGTTCCTTATAATAGCAAAATATTTAAATTTTATCTTTTACAATTGCGCTACAAAAATATTTTTATACCGAAAAAATCCGCCTAGTTTAAATGAAATGAACCATTTTACATAGCTTGGCTTGAAATATAACTTTAGTCATTGTTAAGGGCCTGGCCAACCTGTATTACCAAGACAATAGCCGTTGTGGTGGTAAAAAATAATAAGGAAATCATTTAAATCGAATCTTTAAGGGTTTCATAGCATTTTTTCTAATAGATGTAAAAAGCGCAAAAATTTCAACTAGTTATAGAATATTTTATGAACATAAATTTACAATTTTTTTGTCTCACATTATATTTACATATGCTTATTCCATTTATGTTTATTTCATGAAATGTATAAAAAAGTCGGAAGGTCGTAGTATTCGACGCGGTGTACAATTGAAATTTTTTCAACTGAATAAAATATGTTGCTAGTTTTAATACCTTAGTGCTTACCTGTATGGGTAATAAATAAAATTATGATTTTTTAAATGAATTAAGAGAATTAATGATTAATTTTAAGTTATTTATAAAAAATTTATCGATTATCACTAATTAATAAAGGCTTTAATTTTTATCTTTTTAATAGCGTAATTACCTATTCGAAAATAGAATTTTTTTTTTTAATAAAATAACGTGACCATGACTAATCATATATTTATGATTTTAACTACATAATTATGTACATACATATAAGACTTTAGTAACGAGAGGATGTTAAATATTTTTAGTAAATGATGAATGATAAAATAATAGTTAAAAATAGCTTTGTATATACATACATACATATATACATACATATATTTAATTATCATATTTTATATACGATAATTAAAAGAATGTAACTAAAATTTTAATATAAGTACATAAAAAGCAAAAAATTAATATTTTATTTGAAGGTCATCTTTTATTGAAAATGGCACTAATATTGTTTACACTAACGACAAAGAAAAACAAAAAAAAAATGAAACCCGAATGATTTGTAATACAATTCTTTTATATGGTTTTTTCTCAGGTTTACTTACTAAAAAAAAGTTAAAGCTATTTATTTTAATTTTTTATGCATAATACACACATATCTACATGTATACATGAATTATAAAAAAATATAAAAATTATAATTCGTATGTATACATAACGTATATTAATAAAGTTGGGTCAAACTAAATGGGTTTTTAAAATAGCACTTTTCCCTTGAACAAGTGAAAATAATGTTCTGAAAATACAATCTATTATATTGTATTTATATATACAAATATTGCATACCTTTAGGATTTGACAAAAAAAATATAAGGTGTCGATAATTTAAATTCTTACAAATTTCGAGCGGTGATAACTTGACAGGTGGAAAAAATTTTTTCTACAAAAAAAAAAAACAATTTATTAATATCTAAATGACTGCTAAAATTGCAGATCCCTACAATTTACAGTCAACAAGAAAAACAGTATCAAAAATTAAAAAAAAAAACTAATTTTAAATAACGGTTAATTTGAACAGCCATTTTTTTTTCTTCGAGTTTTAGACTATGCTTTACTTATGCCGCAATAAAATAAGCTAGCCACTCTCCTTTTTTGGGTTTGCGGATTTTTTGGATTTTGAGTGGCTATAATTTTCGGAGGGGGTTGGGGGGGAGTGGCTATAACTTTTCTATATGGAAAAAAGTTTCTATTAAAGATTTTCTATAGGGTGTAGGAATTCTGTGAATAGACACACGAACTGATTGATGGATAATCGTACGGAATACCCTCATTCCAAATCAGAACCTCTCTATTTCTCTGTAAAATAAACTTAACCTTTTACACTCGAAGCACTCCTCACAGGCACTGCGAAACTTTGACGTTGTACTCGAAGTGTGCCTCTCAGGTACCACCAACAATATGCTGCACTAAATTTCAAACGGTTTGAATTCACAGTTAAACTTTAGTTGCAAGTGGTTTTATGTGTCAGTATTTTGTTGATTTAACCGATAAAAGAAACAAATTTATAGTTCATCATTGCTAAAAATATGATGGAAGAAGTGTAGCTAGTGGGAAATTTTCGACTCCCGGCTTTGTGCGGTCGCCCTTCATCCTCTGATAAAGAACAACGTTTGAATGGAAAGCTCCACATTATAAATCAACTCCCTGACGGTAGTAAGAAAAACTGCCTTGTCTGTTTAACCGAAAAGGTTAGAAGACAAACCGTTTATTTTTGTGAAACATGCGATCGTCAGCCAGGTTTACATAATGCTAATTGCTTCAAACGGTATCATACCCTCAAAAATTTCAAATAATATAAAATTCAAATATTAATTTACAAAATGTTCATATTGTGACAATAATAAAAAAGTTTTAAAAATATATTGCCATTTTTAATTATATGTAGTTTTTACCTTCAAATAACTGATATATTACATAGTTAGATAAAGCCCAAAAGTACAAGCTGCTAAAATCTTTAGCCGAAATAAAGTTCGAGTGTAAAAGTTTAATATTGTATAAATATACACCACCTGCCACAAAGTTTTCTCAATTAATTTTTATACCCGTAAGAACGTATGTTCGAAGGGTATAATAAATTTGCCTTACCGTTTGTAAAGCTAAAAAATAATGCTCTGAGATATAAATTCAAGTATATGATGTTCCACGCTGATTTTGAGTCGATTAAGCTTTGTCTGTCCGTCCGTCCGTCCCAACGATAATTCAAAAACTAATTGAGCTAAATTCACCAAATTTACGAAAATTATTTATTTTAGTAAATTTTTAGTAAATTTAAATAGGGGTACTGATTCGGGTAGCTGCCATACAACTTCAAAATTTGTTTGAGTATATCTGAGAAACTATAAAAGCGTATGTGATATTGAAATTTCACACAAGTGAACATATTAGTACGACCAATGTATTTGATAAAATTCGTCGAAATTGCTTGTCTCTTTCTTGTAACTACCATACAACCTTAATAGTAATTTGGCCATATCTTAGAACATATTGAAATCGCAGTACTGAAGCTTTGTATAAATTAATATGGTAATACGACAACTTAAAGACATGGTCTGTCCTATAGTCAACTATTGCACATTTATTCACACATAGGGAAAAAAATTCGTACGGGTATCACAGAGTTGACACAGTCAACTCTATTTTTTCTCGTTTATTATGGTTTCATTCATTTATATTATACATTTTTCACTATTTTTATATTCATGTTTGTATATATAGTTTTCTGATATCTATGATATATCAGTTTTCTACATAATACCTCTTATGTTTCTGTATAGTTAACTCTATGGTAATAAATAATATGCCTATAACTAAGAGAGATGATAGATAAAATAGAAATAAATTATAATATTAAGTGCTATAAAATTAAATTTGATTTGTACTTCTTCTTAGTATAGATGTATCCATTTAAAGCTTTTTTTTTTCCAGAAAAAATCAAATATTTATATACAAAATAACACCATATAATATTATAAAAGTATTATGGAAACCTGTGTAATAACTGTGTGACGGAAAGTTGTTGAATTTCTACAATCGAATATTTAAAAAAAAATAATAAAAAGAAAATTAGCAACATACATACATAGCATAAGAAATGTCGAAACAAATGTTTAAAATAAAAAGAAAACTATTATTTTGGACAAATTGGATAACTCAAGTAACATTGCCGATTTACTATACATCGTTATCTAATAATAGATAGGTAAGAAAAAAAAAATGTTAATTATAAATTTTATTCAATTTTTTTATATAAACAAGGCTTTTATAACGCTTAAATATTCTATTGACAAAATGCTTATTATTGATTCTGAAATTTCACTTTTTTGGAGTTTTTATGTACATTACAAAATCCCCATAGACACGCACTTTTTTTTCGAATACTTATCATACATTACATTTTCTTAAAAATATCTTTCTAACTCCGCTTATGACGTTAATTGAGGCAGCGTAATTTAAGCTGTTTATAACGCTCTCTATAGTTATAAATAAGTTAAATAAACGAAATGAATTCAATAACGTCCCGAACAAAATGTCACATAATTAGAAATATAATATACAGGAAACCGTAAGGCAAATATGTCTTATGAAGAAAATTAATTTTGAAATTTATATTTCCCACCCAAACTTTTAAATAAGTTAAGTATCGATTTTTTTTATATATACATACATAATAGACTTTGTCATTAAAATTAAACCTTCAATTATATTTGATTTAAGCAAAAATGTCATATATTATAGTAATATATTGTAATAGATTATCATCAAAATCTAGATTTATCTGAACTTCAGATACATAGGTGTTCAAACAGACCGAATACCTTTCTATATGAAAATAGATTATTTATACTTCGCTATTATGGAGTAAAGTGCGTTTCCGCCGAAGAACTTTATTCAGTAATTTATTTTTGAATAATTACTATATATGTATATGTATCTATGAAATTTGTGGTTTAACCATGTAGTAAGTTCTGCGCGCTTAATCAGTTCTACCTCAATTAATTAAAAACATATTTTTCATATATATTTTAAATGTTTTTGCAAATGTTCTTAATATTACAACTGCAAATTTTTAAAAGCTTTGCCTATGTAGAGTTTCTAAAGTTTTGCAATTCTAATCTTAAGTATTGCATTTTCAGAAAATACCCATTTTTTATCTTTTTTTTTAATATTCTAATATTTAATTATCTTTTTCTTTTATTTATAGCCTCCTCATTCGAATACTATATTATAATAATTATAAAAATTTAAAATTAATAGAATAGAACAAAGTGGAAATCTCTATGAATGTAAAAAGAAAATTTTAAATTAAGTTAAAAATAAAAATTTGAATATTTATACAAAATTTCGCAATATATAAAAAATTTGTGAAATTAATTTATTTTTTATTTAAAAATTTTTTTTAAGTTTATTTATTTTTTTTCTATATATATATTTTTTAAATAAAATTAGAGTAAAAAAGAATATATTTTATTTTTGTATACATATATAATAAACATCAAAACATTATTATTGTCAAAATCACACCATATTTATTATATTAAAAAAAAGTTAATCAAAAAAAAAAATACATAAATAAGAAAATATGGCCCTTCAACCAAATCGAATTCTACGTTTTATTATGGTAATTAGTGTTGTTGTATTAACAATATTTATATATGCATCGTATTATTCAAATCCAACAATGACAATTCCAACGAGAATTCATTCAACAGCAGCCTTAATTTCAACTGTTAATAGCAATATTCATAATAGTAATAATAACCTTTATAATAATAACAATAATAACAATATTTTAATAAATAAGAATAGTATTAATAGCAATAGGATCAGTGCTAATAACATAAATATTAAGTTAGATGATAAAAATGATGGCGATAATAATGGTATTGGTGATACCATTATTGGTGATGTGAAAATAGGTGATAACAACAGAATTGGTAGCGCTATTGCTGGTCAAAATACTGTTAAAACGAATATTTTGAATAATAATAATACTAATAATAATAACAATATTAATGATAAAAGTAATAATAATAAGGGTAATATTAGTTATAACAATAATATCGATAGCAATAGTTATAATTTTAAAAATAATAAATTAAATATGATAAATGATAATAATATAAATAATAATGAAATCAATAATAGTAATAATAACAATAATAATCGAGATTCATTTGGCAATCGTCAATCATCAAATTGGAATGCTGACACTGTCAAATTTAATTCTGGTAAATATTAGCAATAAGTTCTGGTACTCGTAATAGCAATAAGTTTGTATTTTAATATTCACTATGTATATTAAAATACAAACATATTGTATTGTATATGTATATTTCATGAATAAAATTATCGTTTTATACATACATACATAGTCATATGATATGACTGTTACTCATTCTGTAAAATAACTTTGAATACAGATATACATATATACAGTGGCGCTTATGTGTTATGATGACTTAATTTTTGAAAAAATACACATAATTGATAAAATGTAGAAAATTGTCGAAATCTATACTTTTAAACAGTAAATGATAACAACAGTAATTTGATAAAAAAAAAGAATAATGTGGCAAATTGAAGAAACATATACAGCAACATTTTGCACTATACTGCACCCAAACGAATTAATATGATTCCTATACGTACTTATCAGTAAGGTTATTCTGCATTTATCGTACAGGGCTTCTCCAGGTCGGATCATAACAAATGTAGTCGTTTTTTTTTTTTTTTAAAAATATGAATTCGCAATTATAATCCCTGTTGAAATATAAAAAGTTTTTGATGCAGTACAAAATGCCGTGACTTCAATAATGCTTTATAAAAAGTTTAAGTATGGTGTTAATACGATTGTAGTACCGTCTCAGAACTTTCAGTACCTTAAAATTCTAAAAAAAACTGCTAAAGCTTTTGATATTGATATTGATTTGCTAAAGCGTGCAAATATTAATTTTTAACAAACGTTACCACTTAATTAAAACATAGCATTTTTATGCTGCATTGTAAATTAAAAAAATTTAATAAGTAGCACTTTATTGCTGAAAATATATGCTAGTTTATTTAATTAGTTATTTCTGGCAACTTTTATATGACATGTATAAGAAAAGCGTGCTCGATTTTTTCGATACAATTTAATTTTATTTTACATATCTACTACGTATAGTAGAATGTGCTACTTTGTAAAGTTTTCGTCGTGACCGCATTATTGAAGTCACGAATGTTGTTGTTTTATATCTGTACTACAATCTGCACTCTAAATATCTTGTTATGTTTCTCGTACAATGCAATGACCACTCCCATCCTGAGATTTTTCGGTGTTGAAGATATATTTCCCCCTTGTAAGACCTTATAATACAATTTCAGAAGAAGAAAGACTTACTCTTTATCCATACCTAATTTAACAACTGTGTTGTCCTACAGTCACTAAAATGATTAGAAAAAAAAATATTTTAACTTATATTATATAAAAAAAATTAATTATTAAGTATATGAAATGTATGAATTAATTTTTATTTTTTTATTCCTGATTTTTTTCTTTTGTTTATATTTATAGTTAATTCCACAAAATTTTTAAATGAAGGACCAGTATCAAATATACAAAATTTTATAAAAAATGCGGATAAAATACTTAAAAATTTGACTGTGGCACCTATAGGTAAATATTATATAATAATATGAAAATGTCGAAATTTGAAATTAATAAATGTTATTCAACTATAGTAGTTACAGAATAATATTTTTATATGATTATTAAAAAAAAAACTAATTTTAAAATATATCTAATTCTTATAATTTTATTTTTAATTTATTTAACTACAGTTAATTTAAATTCAACATCACAACAACAAAAGCCACAAATTAAATTAAACCAACAACAGCAACAGCAATCAAGTCAGTTAGGAAAATCATCACAATTAAGTAATCATATTTCAGAAAATTTAATGCCACAATCACCATCATCAACGGCAATTAGAATTGTATCACAACAACAAATGAAATCATTACCATTAATAAATAATAGTAATATAACATTAGGTAATTTAACATCACAACAACAATTTGATTTATCAAATGGTATTCCAACTGGTCAATTATATGAAAGTGGCCATTTAGATGTTAATCCAAATTTATGTCCAAATGAAGGTGATCAAATAAGACTGTTAATTGTTATAACATCAGCACCATCACATCGTGAGGCACGTTTATCAATTAGACAAACATGGGGTCATTATGGTACACGACGTGATATTGCAATTGCATTTATATTAGGACGTACGTTAAATCCAATTATTGAAGAATCATTAAATAATGAAAATTATTTATATGGTGATTTAATACGTGGCCGTTTTATAGATAGTTATAATAATTTAACATTAAAAACAATATCAATATTAGAATGGGTTGATAAACAATGTTCATTTGTTAATTATGTACTTAAAACTGATGATGATATGTTTATAAATGTACCAAAATTATTATCATTTATTGATAAACAAAATCAAAATAACAATAATAGTAATAAAAAAAATATAATATACGGACGTTTAGCTAAAAAATGGAAGCCAATACGTAATAAAAAATCAAAATACTATGTTGCACCTGGACAATTTTCACAACAAGTATTCCCACAATTTACAACGGGACCAGCTTATTTAATGAGTTCAGATATAATACATGATTTATTTATTAAATCATTAGAGCAAACATATTTAAAATTAGAAGATGTATTTACAACTGGTATTGTGGCACAATTATTAAATATTAAAAGAGTTCATGTTAATGAATTTTTAAATCGTCGTATTGCTTTTAATCCATGTAATATACGTAAAGCAATTAGTGTACACATGATTAAATCAAATGAACAATTTGATTTATGGAAAAAATTGTTAGATACAAGCACGAAATGTAAATAATAATCAATTTATATTATTAAATAAGCAAAAATAATATTTAAATTAAGAAATAAGATAAAAAAATTAAATTTGATAAAATTAAATTTGAAAATTTTAATTACATAGTTATTAAAATTAATTTATAAAAGTAAGATGCAATGATAAATGCAAAAAAAAAAACACAAAAATATACAAATGTATTATTATATAATTTTATTTTTATTATCATAAATTTATAAAAAACAATTGAAATGCATGTATATAATTTATTAAAGCAAATATGATTTTAAATAACTATTTAATTTATAAAAACATCCTTATAACAGAACATTTAACACTACCATTTTGATTGTGATTTATGCTTTTCGCATAATGTAATGTAATTTAAATAATAATTTCGCATTCTTTTAACAATTATGATTTGGTTTTTACATTAAGTATAATTTTTTGTTTTATTATTTTGTATCAATGAATTTCTTTCAAAACTTAAAATTTAATAAAACTTATTAGGCTTTTCATAAACACCAATACGTACATATTTCGTGATATAAAGCGAAAGCTGCGCTATATTTGTGTTCGTAAACAAAATTATGCTAACCTTGAACATGCATGACTAATTTTTTCGCAATATAGCGAAATTAGTATATTGCATTGCAATAGTGCAGTTAAATCATGTACGAATGCTTTTGTAGTATTGCGTTTCGCTGAGTTATTGTTCTGTAGTATTGTGTTTATTAAAAGGTTTAACATCTTTTATTTTTTATTATAGCTTTATAAATACTAATATGTATTTTTACGTATACATCACAAGTCCCTAACAAGAACAAATATTTTAAAGTCATACAAAAAAAAGCCAATCGTTATCGCATCTTTTTATTTAACAAAAAAAAATAATTTTGAGACTTAAAAATTTAATTTTAACAATTGAGAGTTGTAGTAGAATTTTTAAGAAAAAATTGTTTTTTATGTTTATGTATTATAAATGCATAAATCAACGAAACTAAATTTCGGTCAATTTTTGACATCGAATCCCGGTTCTTAATCATCTCAAATTCAAATTTTCTAGTTTATAATTTAAATAAAATATTAGTTTTTCGTGTATGCCATACAATAATAAAAATTTTTCCAATTCCACACTCTGTTAAAAGACTGATTCTCAATATTTTAATGATACAAAAGCACATAGTAAATATTTTATATTGTTCAACTATGCTTTTTCAAATTAATTAAATACTTATGTATGTTTCTTTCGGTTGAATATGTGAAATTTTTTACTTACAAAATTTCCTCAAAATTTTGTTGCGGTTCGTTTATATGAAATGGAAAACTTTAATTCTTTTATAAACATTTAATGCCCGAATTCTAATAAAAAATAAATTTTTGCAGACATATTCAATTTTCCTTTTAGGCCGACGATATATCAGGAGGTTATGTTGGCTACTAACCAATTATAGATGTAAAAAAAATTGAATTAAATTTGAAAACAATTTAGTATAATTTTTGAATTAATACAAAAAGATTGAAATTTTTGATGTAAAAAATCTTTTTATTCTAGTATTCATTAGTATTAAGATTACTTTTAAGAAAAAAAATAGGCTGTATATAACATACTAACTGAAACAGAAGAAATTTTTATGTTAAAAAGTGTCATGAATCCACCATTTTGCTACTCTGTGTAATTTAGACTTTTTTTTTATTTGAAATATTAAAAGGATATTATCCGTATTCTATTAAAGAAACTTGTTTCGGTTTAGATTAATTATAATTAATTAAGAAATTCATATATGTACATACATATATATTTAATCACCTTCTGTTAGTCGAATCACATGCAAATATCGCGTAAAGTTGATGCTACCATGTCTAAGTCTTATTCAAGTAGACGTAGACCTATTATATTTGAAGTAATACTTAACTTTGAAGTGATGGCGTATATCAAAATCATCACGTGAGCTATTTTAAATATTTTATCTATTTTCATCACTTGAACATTTGCACGTAACATCGCTATCTCGTTGAGATCTTCTAATTTAAATTTAATTTAAATTTTTAGTAGTTATAAAAATTATTAAATTATCTTTATACTAAAAATTTAGCTCTATTTCAATTTTTATATTTATATTTGGAATTTTTGTAATTAAAATTGTAAAAATAAAAAAGAATATGAAGCAGATGGATGACGTAATCAAAGGAACGAGTTAAAGGCAGAAAAATTAATTAAAAAATTTTTCTCCTCGAACTGGAGTCGAACCAGTGACCTACCGCGCATCTAGGCGAACGCTCTACCAACTGGGCTACAGAGGCATGAAGAAATTGCCGACGAAATGTTCTCTATATTGCTTTATATTGTAATCCACATGATTACTAAGTATTTGTTAACATTGACTGCTACATACATAAATTTTTTAATTAATTTTTCTGCCTTTAACTCGTTCCTTTGATTACGTCATCCATCTGTTCTGCAGTTGCATGAAGAAATTTCCATTAAGTTAAATTATTAGTGTAATAAGCACATTACTTATTAATTTCACAACTATGATGTTGTATAAGTAAATTCATAATATAATATGAAGCAATTTAATCTTCTTATAAAATTAATGGAAGATGAAATTTCGAGCTTGCCAAGGGATTTTCGGGATATTCAAACAAGTATTATAGCAAGTATTGCTTTTAAGTTTCTTAAGTAAAATATGTCGCATTTAGTTTTACACTTCAATTGATCCTATTGTACAATTTTCAAAGATAAGAAACAAATTCTAATTAAATTGGCTGATTTTGTAGCATTTTTCGAAAGACGTATGTTTCTTTTTAGACTTGATGTGATGGAATCCCCTCCTTTTATTTTTAACATTCATTTTAATTTTGCAAGAATTGAAACATACAAAATATGGTAGAAAAATTAAGAAAAGAAGAACGTAAAATTATGATCAAAATTCTAATTTATCGGGCTGGATGTTTGTAATCAAATTACTTATTGGTTTTGTGATAACCTTGGCTGGCATATCACTAAACCGATTTTTAATTTTTGGATTAAATTAAATTTTTTAATATCTAAGTCACAAATTATTAATGTATACAATTTTATTTCTAAATCGAATAAAAAATACGAAATATTTTTAAAATGTTTTAAATAAATAAAAAAATATAGAAAATTTTAATAAAAGACAAAAAAAAAACAAATTTGAATAAAAATGAACTAAAAAATTTGAAATTAAATATTGTCAAAAAAAGTATAAACTATAAGAAAATTAGATTTTAAGTGTTGAATAATTTATTTTTAAGCTATATGTATGTATCTTTAGATAAAATTACTGTATATACTTTCCTATCAAAATTATACTTATATACATATGGAGATGGGCTCAGTAAACAGTCCAGTTACATATACACCATCGTTTAGGAGATCTAAAATAGTCAAAATTTTTGTTGTGGAACTAGGTGGTTAAATATATCAATGTTTAACCCACTTTTGCCACCCTTGAACAATGGTATATATATGTTAAAGCACTGTTTTCTGAATATATATATACAAAACTTTATTATTTATATATACTTTATTTATTTTATATATATACTATAAATATAAATTTCAGTTGTGTAACGATAACTAACGCACGGAACGAGTTTTCCGACTTTCTTTTTTAAATAAAATTGCGTATTTGAACGAACCATTAATATGATTAATCTTAATACGTGTAACAATATCCACTGCAAACGTATTTGCCGGTTTTTTTTTCTAAATCTAAATCGATATTTAGAAAAATTCCGCAGAGATCTCCAGATCTATAAATTGAGTAATCTACTCACTTTCTCCTGTACTAATGTCATGATTTCCTCTTCCTGACTCCGACGCTCCGACTGTTGATTTTCTAATTCCTTTGCCCTCAACGCCACAATTTCTTTTGCTTTCGCGCTCAATCGTCTACCTCCCTTTTCTGGTTTTATATGGATCTTTATATAATCTGCAAAAGACTTGGCATAAGTTCGATCAGTTATTGGAGGTTTGCTTAAAGATTCTGCCAGAAATAGAGGACCGAGGTCTGAGTCATCAACACTACTATTGCTTAAGAAGCTTAGAGCTGTTGCTTCTAGTATTCTGGAATACTTCCGGGTTTTTTCATTTTCATGGTCGTTCAAAAAGTAAACCATTTGTTCTATGAGCAGTATTCCATCAATGTCATCTATTTAATTCCCAAATAGAGGCATTCTTTAGCAGACCAAGAAAAGACCCAACCCAGTATATCCTAGGGAAACAAAAGCTCCCGCATTTTAAAATTACATCTTTCCTTCATGGATCAATTATATTATTGATGAATGGGACCAATGTGGCTTGCTTATATTCACTTCAATCTGCTAATAGGTTTCCCATTAAGTTGTAGATATATCGTCCAGATGGAATTGCAGAGATGTTTTTAGGCTTCCAAAACGTTGCGTTGAAAAAAGACCGAATATCTTACTAAACATTCAAGGAAGGTTTTGAGACTAAGCGAACTAGATTGAAAATCAGGAAGCCTAAGAGTCCTATTAGGTCCTTCTGGAAAGTTTTGTTTTTTCCTGCAAGAATATTCTGCTTGAGTCCAAGCAGTTTGGACGATTAGATTATATTTTAAATCTGCATATTCTATTTTAGAATCACTTTAGAGGCAACTAGAGTAAAGATTGGGGTGAAATCAGCAGAGGAATCATTTATAGATAAAAACAGGTTCAGCAGGTGGTTTAGCATCTTTTTGTTTCATTAAATCAACCCGGCCTGTTTGACTATTGACGAGTATTGACATGATGATCATAAAAAAAATGGTTTATATCAGTGGAATCTCCACAATAGATCTTAATAAAAAGTCGAGCAGCTATGATAGTCTGAGTTTCATCAGCAGAATAAACAGTTGTCTTAGAAAGAAGATCAAAAAGGTTTGATCAGTCCAGTCTGTAGATGACGGAGTTTGGAGAATAGAGGGTCCTTGTAGATGTTGACGTGTTTTGAGCAAGTCAAGATATTTTTCTTCTTAAATTCATCTGAAACTTTTTCCATTTTCAATGTTTCAGATGTCTCTACCACATACAGAGGTATTCATAAACCTTTTTCATATGGTATTCTTAATCGAAGAAAAAAATGAGAAAGCAAAAGATCTTGTAAGCTGATATTTATCTCGCAAAAACTATTTAAAATATTAGGGTACATTATGCCAAACTGTAAAAAAATATTTATTTTAAAACATTAGATATGTATGAGTATAACTTTATTTCAAGATTAAATGATTAAAACTTTTTCAAGTCTTGTTCTTTAGTTTATTGTGCAACTTCAAAAAATTTTTTAATAAAATTGTACATATTATATTTCGGGAATAAGGTAGCATAAAATTTTCGTTTTTATATTTAAAACATTTTTGTATTATTTTTGTAAACAAATGGTATTCGCAAAATTTAATTAATTGAAAATGAATTATCATAAATCTTATCTATAATTTCTTAGTATTACATATTTAATACATGTACCAATACATCGCCTATAATCTGTTAGTCGCATCACATGATATGTTATGGGTTGCTCTTAAAAAAATTTTGTAATTTTCGGAATAAAATACTGTACTGAAGCCTCAACTAATGCAACCAACAGTATGGGTATATATGTATATATCATGTTTGCATCTTGTAACAATATTTTCCTTGTTTTTTTTTTTTTGAAATAGGGTTTCAAACTATACATGTTTATTTATTTGCAAATAAAATTTAAATAAAAAATATTATAAATGCATGTAACATTTTTTATGAAAATTTTTGTTATAATGTACGAATAAATTGTTTTACTTATATGCATACATACATATATAATTTATAAGTATATTATGTATATAATATATTCATTTTTCTTTCACATTAATGTAGCTGTATTTATATATATGTACATAAAATGGAAAAAGTAAATAAAAAGATCAAACAAATTTGTTAATAATTACATAATATTACGAAATAAAAAAAGAGATATTTGTTATATTTGTGTATTAAAAAAAAACTGTTTTATTTCCTCTCCTACGGAATCTTTTGCGTGAAGTACTATTAATACCAATCTGTATGCACTAAAAATGCAACATTTGTTATAAAATTCAAGTCTCTAGCTCTATACATTTGCAAATGACTCGTTCTGAATAAGAATATACTGTTATATCTTATGGGGTCGCAAATGTTTCCTTCTTCATTACTTCATGACAAATTTAGTATGCTCCGTACATATCATGTATCGGTTTGGGTAAATCACCTTTACTTCTGGCTTTACTGAAGTTTTTCAATAAGTTATGAGTTAATAAAAAAAACAATTCTTTATTTTTACTTTTAATTTTATTTTTTTGGTAATCTTGTTATACTCATATCTTTTAATTTAGAATTTAATCGTTTTTTAGCATCTTTTAATTCCTGTTCTTGTCTTATAGTTTTTAATGGTTTTGGATGTAAAAATTTCTCCCTTTCATCACGTTTTACAGCTGATCCACATCCATGTACTTCTGGCAAGTTATGTTTAAAACAATATCTTTGTTTGCATAATAAACAATCTTGTCCCATCAAATTTGTTTTTGTTTTACATTTATTAAAATCACATGTAGAATCAATAATCTTTACTTCTTGGACGACATCATTCAATTTTGTTTCAATAATTTTATTTGGCAATTTTTCTATTAAATCAATTGATTTATTTGTATTACCATATTTATTACGCAATGCATTAGGTTTTTTATATTTTGGAATACCTATTGAATTCAAAGTTTGATCTCTGCCATTATCATTCAAAGATGTTTTGCCATCATCTGTGTAAAATTAGAATTGATTCAGAAAAAAGAATATTAGAATTTTTGCACGATTTTTTTTAATAAGAAAAACAAATACTTTACTCTTCTTAAGGTCCATGATCACAAGAAAGTTATTTTTTAAAAATCTTTAATCACTTTAGTTAGTGTATATGAATTTCATTTCTTTTTTTAACGTAAAAATATCAATTTTAAATTTTAGAGCACTTTATTTACTTCATACACCTAACATATATTATATTTTCGTTACTTGAAGTTACATATTTGACATAATTGACATTTTAGTATTACCATATGTAGGAATCATAAATGTACTAGATTAATAGTCTCCCAGTAGAAAAAATGAAGGTAAAAAATAAATTTTCCTTCAATTATAAAATATAATTACAAATATTTGAATTTGTCAAATACATTTTTAAATTTGAAAATAGAAAATTGTTTATTTATTGATACACAATTTTAATTAAAATCAGTATTTAAATTAAAAATGAAAAATTAATAAAATTCGAATCGGTGGCAGTTATTGAAATAAACAGATGTAATACAAAAAATATCGTCATTCACAAAAAAATGCATGCAACGAGATAGGAGTATTCCAAAACTAATTTTTTTTTCTAAATTTTACAAGTTAATCATCCAATATTAGGTTTACACTTACACAAAAACCATATTCGATTGTTGCCTTTTTTTTAATTATTTTATGTGTCAAACTTTTCTCCAACTATAAAAATGAAAAATTTAAGATGTTTTTTTTATAAAGACTCTTTAGTTGTTTTTTTTAAAACGGTCTATCATGCCAAAAATGCACTTGACATACCAGATTCCATTTCACGCATAAGCGTATTATTTTAATTAATTAATCCAATACATATTAAGAATTCAATATCAACTAATTCATTAAACGTCACTGTCTATTTAAATTTGAATAATTTTCTCTTTTATTTCAAGTTCCTCTTTTATTTCAGTTTTATTTCGTAGCAAAAGAAAAGGTGGTTTTACATATCACAATATGTTTCGACTATAATATTATATGTATATGTATATATATGTTCATACATGCATATATATACATATAAAACATCTAAAATATTCTATAATCATAATAATAACTATCATATAATGAAATTATTTTATAGTTAAATCGCAGGTATAGTAGTTAATCTCATTACAAAGTTGCCATTACAATAATTTTCTATTGAGAAAAATTTTCCTTTAGTGTAAAAGTATATTCTCTAGGAGAATCAAGCATGTTACAGCGAACTTAACTATCTTTCAATTTTAGGCGGAAAATAGTTCTTGTACTGCCAGTCTAGTCTTAATACGTATACGGTCTATGTAAATTGACCATAGATTTACACATTTTTTATGACTTAAGCAGGAATAAAATTCTGGTCCTTAAGAACAACAAAAACAAAAATACATACATATTGTCAAAGTCAGCTGTCATTTGTCAGAAACAAGAATTCAATTCTTTTATAGTTTTTTTTTTCACTTGCTTTTTTTTTCTGTTACTAATTGTAATTACTATTGGTACATTCTGTAGTTGCAAATGTAGTTTTTTTGTTTTCATTCTTGCTTTATATGTTAAAAAAAAAAGCAGAATTTTATATCTTTGACAAAAATTTGAATGGTGTTAGTGTCTTAATAAAAACGCTAGTCGTTGCCGCCGTTGCCGCCGGTCTGGTGAAATTAAAATAGTATTTACGAAAAAGTTAAATAATAAATAATGAAAAGAACGTTGTGCCGTGAGGTTTTCTAACTTTTTGTAAAAAATATTAAAGAAAAATGCATAATTTTTTAAATATTAAAAAAAAATAATTTAATTGGTGATCATGAAGTTCTATTATTTGAGGTGACAATAATAAAAAAAGAAAAACAAAAGATAGACAGAATATAAAAAAAAACAGATGTTAAAGAAATAAAAATAATCAAATTGAAAGCAATGCAAATATGCAAAACTTTTGTTAAATAACAAAAAAAAGGCGGTAAAATTTCTAATATTGGTGAGCCAATTTTTCCAATGGTTTTTAAATATTTTAATTTTCCATTAAAATTTTCACAAATTACAAAAGTCTTGAAGAAGAAAAAACGAGGTGGGATACTTAATTTTGATTAGAATTTTTATTTTTTTTTTTTTTTATTGGACATGGTACCTGTATGAATTTTGAATAAGGATAAAAAAAATGCCGGATGATATCACAAGTGAAATAATAATTTTCTACCTACATACACATATGGTTTTGCTGACGACTATTTCTGATACAATTCAAATCTAAAGCAGTAGGTCCAATTCAAATTTATTTACAATATTGCAATAAAATTATCGGCTATAATGAGTGACAATGTCATATAGAATTAGGAAGGTGCCACAATTTTGTGAAATTACATATAAAATTGCTATAATTGTTTTGTATACGTTTTATACTACAATTAGTTAATATTGCGGAAAGTATCTACACACAAACATATGTGCCTACCTTAAAATATATATATATATATATATATATATATATATATGTATATATTTTAATCATATTTACTTATTATTTGCATCTATATAATTCAATATCAAAAACAGTATTTTAAATTGTATAGCATGCATATATCATCATTATAATTGCCATAATTGTATTGCCTTTTTGTTTTTTGTTGAGTCAGTTGAGTCATAGGTTCATCATATGTACATGTGTACATACGTATGTATATATGAAAGTACATAGGTGATATAAAACCTTAATTTTTATAAAAATTTTAATATTAAGACAGTTTAAACCAATATTATACTTTTAAAAAAAATTATATTGCTTTCGTACTTTATTTTAAGATATGTATATATGTAGATAGGTGAATCCACATTCAATATTATTTATTACAAATGTATAACATAGTGGTTTAAAACGTTATCTATATGTAGGTAGTTATCCATATGCATAAAAGCAAGTTGAATGTAAACGGTGACAATTCTTATAAGGTGACAATATGTGTAAAAGCCACTATAATAAGGAATAGGAAACTAAAATATTTCGAACACTATTGACTTTTAAGAAATTTGACTTTGTATATATACATGGTCCTTAATTTTGTATTAAATATAATTGGATGATAAAATTACTTAAGAAGGTAAGGTACTAGATACTTAACCTAACTAATTATACAATAATCTAAGTAGGTAGGTACCTATTTTGTTTTTCTTGGATAAAGAGAAACAATAATTGTTGATTTAGCTAATTTTACACAGCTGTAATTTTCAAATGAGCTTCAATTCAACATTGGCAGGTATTTCAACACAAATTTCCATCGATAGCTCGAACTATTGTAGTATCTATGAATTTTAATAACTTATTTGAATATTATAGGAATAATTAAGAATTTAGTAATTAGCAAAGCTAAAAGACGCATGTTTTCGATCGAAAATGCAACTATTAGATTTTTTCAACGCATCGCAGCTTGTTGTTTGCAAATTAGGGAGCCCTATATGGAAGTCGAAGGAATGTTTAAGTCGAAAATCCCATATGCTAGTCCGAAGGAAAGTGCAATCTTTTTTCAAAAAATCAAAAATTAAAAAAAACAACACAAAGTTCGATTTGTAATCAAAGTAACAATAATTTTAATTTTCGTAAAAAAAAATAACTTAAATCAGTGTGATGACGAATTCAAGAAATAGTATTATATACTGCTCTAGTAAAACTATTGAAGATTTTAGGCAAACCCAAACAGATCCAGAAAAAAAATGTGGTATACTATTTTCAATGTAAAGATGTCTAGTAGTTATATACCTGCCTATATTGTTTTTAACACATCGTGTAGAGTAAAAATACCATCTTATCATCTAAATTAATCTAAATCTAAATTAAAAATTAAAAAAGTTTTAGAACCAATAATTTACCACTTATTTTATTATAAAAAAAAGTGATGACGTTATGAATATTTTTTTTGCAAGATTTGTTTTTTGTGAAATTGCAATTTCTAATTTATTTTATAACAACAAAATTTTAATTAAAACAATAAAAAGAATAAGAGAAACAGAAAAATACAAGAATAATAATTAAAATAATTATAAGAATAATTAAAAAAAATTAAAATTTATTGATTTTGTTTTTCTGCTATTCAATCTTTTTTTTTCTTATTGTTACTGTACATATATAATTTAACACGACTTTTAATTATACTATATTTATAACAAAAAATCAAAAAAATAAAAAAGAAAACATAGACCAGTTTCTGAAATTATAAAAAAAAATTTAGAATGTTAAAATGTACGTATATAAAACTAATTATATAAATATATAACGGTATGCCATTATTTCAGTTATAATTTATCACATGAAGCACCACACACGTATTTAAAACAGAATAATGTACAACATTAATAATCCAGTTAATGTTTATCAATAAACATTTGTTATTGTGATTGATAATATAAATAGAAAACTACACAATATCTATTACCAATTGAACCATACCAACCTAGAGTATAATTCGAGACAACAGTTGAAGATTATAGATTTATGATTGAAGATTAGATTTGTATAGTTTGGTAACCGAAAACTCTAATAGGTTTAAGTAAAATTCAGATAAAAGAGGTTCAAAACAGAGAAAGTATGATGTTTTTCTAGATGAATTCCAGAGCTATTTAATCTGAGATTTGTGGGATTATATATGATTGTTCGCTATATCATGGAACGTAGCAGTTAATACGTAATCTCATGGTACGTAAGTTTCACAGAATTGATCCTATATTACTTACATTAATGTATTATTGTATGAATTCGAATTCTTCTATTATTTAATCCCTTGTTCTATCAGTAAGGGTGGTCGTGATACTCTTAGGCCTAGATATCGCAAGAAATTTTGAATTTGTTGTTTTCATATATTGGGTATTAATTACTAATCATTGGGTATTAATGTAATCATAGAATGTGTCAAGTTACAATTAGCACCAGGCATATATATATACATATAAAAGAAAAACTAAAATTATTCTCCAAAGTCAAGTTCAAGTTTTAAAATATTTTATTAACATTATGATAGTTGTAAATCGTGCATTGTGGAAAATTTTCCTATAATTATGCAGTTTTGGGTATTTCATTAAGTATGACATTTAACAATTCTATTACGATGCATTTTTATAATCATATTGTTAATGATTATTATTAAAAATTAATTGTTTTCTCTATATATAATCTAATAATTTTTTCATTCTATCTACTAAAAGGTACTTATAACATTCTAATTTAAAAAATACATATTGTAATAAATAATTAACATGTTATACTTAAGTAACAATTTAATGGTAATTCGACTATAACAAAAGTTATTAAAGTTTTAAGATTTCGATTTGAATGCATAATAGATCCATTCACGGAAATTTGATTTCATTTGAATTATAACGATATTACAGCGTATAATACTAAAGATATAATATAGAAATGCTATGTTACTAAAGATAGAGTAATTGTTTTCAATGGGGGTGGAATGGTATGGTAAGATTTAAGCGAAGTTTTAATATGAAGATATTTAATAATCATACTATAATGAATGGAATGAATACTTTTATATTTAAAACAAAAAAAAAACATGATATGCAAGACTCTCTATACCTATATAGACCATAATTAATATTTTAGTTGAGTTTAGTTGAGAGAAGTAGTTACATTCCGGTAGATATCCTTAAGGAGTTTTATGTTGTAATATTATAATATTTAAATTATTAAGTGTATATTAAAATTTTACATTTCTGTATAAATTTCACATACAGAACAGCATTAAATTTGCAAGTTATACAATTTCTCTAACCAATTAAAGTGAAGTGATTGATTACAACATCGGAGTCATATACGATCAATAATTTCTTATAATAGCAGATGATTGTCATTTGAAAAATTAAAATTCTTTCACATGTCATCCACTGCACTGTCACTACTAAGTGTATGTAAGTGAAGAATATTATATTCAATATATCTATGCGAAATACCCTTATATAAGTATGTATTATTTTATTGTTTATAAGCATGTGTCAAACAAACTGTTAATTGATTATCTATATGTATATGGATTTACTCTGTAGTAAAAAAATTAATTCTTAAAGTTTTAATTTTTACTTTTAAATAAGACTAATAAATTATTAAGTAAATATATAAATTTTTAAAATTCAGAAACAATAGTAGTCGCATTACATATATATATATATATATACATTACATAAGGCTAACAATAATCGAGATATTAGATGATGATTAAATTGGGATTATATTGCATTATTGATTTAATTGGAATAAAAAATTTGCAATTAAACATAAATTACTCAATATTGAATATAAATTACAGATATGTTATGATAATTTTTAAAAATATTTGATTAAGTGGAAAAAAAAATACATATCCTTATATTGTTTCAGGGAGGTTAACATTACAAATTATATGTAGATACTGTCTTGCTGAGCTTTATATTTCACCCATATTTTTTTGCAAAGTTTCTCTGGCTGCACCACGAATTCGAAAAACAGAGAGATGTCTGACAGTCTGTCTGTCTGATTGGCCAGATCAGTATATATTAAGATCGTTTGAATCGACTTTCATGAAAATATATCTGAGTTTATTATTAGATAAGAAACGTCATCTTCTTATAATTAACTTTTTGGGATATGTCAGTCTTCGACAACTAAATCCTTTGCTATCTGGACAGATTTTATCTTTTTTTGATCATTTCTCAGAAAATATTCAAACAGATTCAAAATTTATATATATATATATATAAGCTTCGTCTTACAAAAACTAAAAAGCCATTTAATTTTTCAAGGAAATCAGGTGTCGTCAGCAAACCAGGACTTTTCCAACATTATAAAGTTATTAATATTAAAAAGTCGTTAATTTCTATATTTTTTATACCTTTATATTCTTGGAACAGGGATATTAAAGGCAGATAAAAAATAAATCGCGAATGGCTGCGGTGACGCTCTTGCTCCGATCGGTTTTCATAAAATTTAACAATTTAAACTATCTCAAGAAAATTTTCATAAATCTTATGCAACCATTTTAAAAAATGCGGCAGTCGGCTATGTGCTGTTCACATCAAATTTTATTTTATTTGATTTAGAATTTTTTTTTCCTTTATTTTTTTTTTTAATATGCGTTTTATATATTAAGTATGTAGATACATTATATTTGTACATATATAAATTTTTTTTATTTTTTGTTTTTTTTTTTTCAATATTATAGGTTCAATAATATTATATAAAAAAAATAATTCAAATATACACATACATATAGATAAAAAAATTTAAAATAAAATAATAGAGTAAAGAAAAAAATACAAATATTTAGTAACAATGTGTAATTCAAGCGATTCAAAAGTACTTTTAATTGTAATAAAAATTGTTAAAAAAATTATTTCAAATTTGATTAAAATAATAATTGCCGCAATAGTAACAGTAACCGCAACAGAATCACCGTTATTATCATCATCATTATCAACATCATCATCATCTGAAACTAAATCAACATTTTATAATAGTGTTAATATAAAAGATAAAAAATTAAATATTTTAAAATTATTTGCACAAATCTATTTTATATTTTATGAAAATATTTACTATTATACAAAATCATCATGTCTCTTTTAAAATATTAAAAAAACTATTAACGATTTACTTATATAACATTAAAGAGTTGTTAAAAGTGTGAGTGGAAAAAAAAAACTAATTTTTTAGAAGCAAAGACTTTGAAAAAGTTCAAACCGCGTATTTTAAAAAATTTTCCAAAAAAAAATGAATTGACTCAAAAATTTTACTAAGTATACGGAGGTTTTATTACAACATTACTGAAACTGCACTTTTTTAATTAGAATATTAAGGTAAGTTTTATATTCTTTTTGAAATTATATTTGTTTTTTAAGTTTTACTAAATTACTAAATTTTCACTAACCCTTCATTCATCGTATATGATTTGTAAATCGCCGGCTCTAAATATAGAACTATATTTTAAATAAAACTTACAATAAAAGTTCTTCTCTGCTTCTTTTGTATAAGGGGGTAAATAATTTCAGAGATGATTCTTTGATGAATTTCTAGCAAAAAATTGTATGGGTGGGTGGGTGCAGATTTACTAGTTTTCGAGCTACAGTCTGTTGAAAAAAAAAGAATCAGATTTTTCCTGCATGTAAATAAATGCTTATAATTTCGGAACCGTACAACATAGAGCAACTTTGTATCAGGGACTTATTTTACAGTCTTACAATCAATTTGATTTGAACCATAGTTTTCGAGATAAAGATCATCATGGTGAGAATTTTTGTTTTTTTTTTAGAATTTTTTTTTTCAAAACTCGAAATTTTTAGAATATGTGTTTTTTTTTGTTTACATGCGCTAGAATGAGAACTGAATAACATTTTCCTCTATTCCTCATTCCAGTAAAACTTATTCAAAATATTTATATTTGCAAATATAAGGAAAATATATAGCTCATTCATTTTATATATTTCATAATTTTACATTTGAAATAAAATGTGCTTAAACTATTTTCTGGAAGATTATAAAGAAATAATGCCTTTCATCCCGTAAGATTTTCCTTTTAACTTTCTCTCTTTTTGTTCTTGTCTGATTTTATGCTTACTAAAATTAATTCTGAAAATTAAATTCCGTCCATAATGATAATTTAAAATTTTAAAGGTGTTGTATTCTTGTGAATTTTCTGATGTTTTCATTTTATTCATAAATTACAATCTTAAAGTGGTGATTTTTGAATATGAAATTAAAACAATATAGAATAATATGTTCAAACTTTCGATGTAAATGCATCACTATTTATTATATTCTTATAAAAAAGTAATAAAAACTAAAACTTCACTAGATTTGTAGATTTATACAACAAGGGTAACAGTGCACCGCGACCACGTATAAGAATCTATTGTGCGACCTCTCCCTTCCGATTGCGAGACATGACCTGTAACACACGCTCGAAACCCACCATCTTGATGAACTCAAGTAACTTGTGAGGACCGGAAGACCGTAACTCCGCCGCCGTTTAATCAAAACTGTACTAAATATTAATTAATTTTAATTAATTTAATTTATAATAAAACTGTAAATATTTATTAATTTAGATATTTTTTATAAACAGAACAGACATAAACTTTATCCGAAATGGTTTATGACTACTTTAGATATGCACAGTTTTTTTCAGTATTTAGTTGGGAAGCCGCCGTAAAAAGCCATATACAACTTTTATAAGTTTCGAATATAGTTTTGATTTTATAGTGTTGTCAACTATGTTGGACCAATCCTTTTCACTTTATGATTTCACTCTTTTCAATTAATCGATTATACCAGTACGAACGTATGTTCGAAGGGTACATTGACTTTGACCGTCCCAACGGTAACTCAAAAACTAATTGAGATAATTTCATCAAATTTTCACAAACGATTCATCATAGTAAATGACGGAAACCTCATTAAATTGGATATGACCAGGGTACTGGTTCGGGTAGTTGAGATACAACACCAAATATCTTGACTATATCTTAAAAACTATAAATGCTGTGGTATTGAAATTTCGCAGAAGCAAATATAGTAGGGTCAATGTGTTTGATCAAAGTTGTTGCACTTTTTTAGCTGCTTCTGGTAGCTGCCATACAACTTCTAAAGTTATTCGGTTATATCTTAGAAAATATTGAAAACACAGTACTGAAATTTTGCATAAATTAATATGGCAACTTAAAGTCATATTCAGTCCCATAGTCAGCTATGACATATTTATTCGCACATAGTACAACAAATTCGTACGGGTACCACAAAGTTGACACGGTCAACAAACAAATAACAGCGGCGTATAGGTTTTATGAATTTTCGGCTTTGTCTCCCACCACAACAATACACATATTAATATGTAATGTAAAAAAATATTATTTTATTAATTTATTTACTAATTTGTTGCAATTAAAATTTTAAACTTATTGTCATCAAAGATATTTTTTTTTTATAATTGCAGGTGATTTTTTTATATCAAAAAGATATTGACAAAAAAAAAAGTCAGAGAAAAAAAAAAGAAGAATTCAAAGAAGAAAAACTGGATAGTTACTATATGTATAAATTTAATAACTGTAGTGGAATACCTGATTGTCATAAGTATTATATTCCTAAAAATATTTTCAGGAAAGGTTGGTGTATGTCCTAAAATAAATAAAATAAATATTTTATCTGAAATAATTTAAAAAAAAAAAGTTCAATTGTCGACCGAACAAGTAAAAATACTGCTTTCTTAAAAATAACAGTCTATTAAATTGTTTTAAAATTACTTTTTACGAAAAATATTGCATAAATTTCGGGATGATAAATAAAATCAGTCAAAATCGATTTTAAGCATTTGCATAAACTCGAAACCTGTTGATCTCTGAAGATCGTCTTTACACAAAATTATTACCTTCTCATAAAAGCTTAAGCAGTGTGATATATAGCAGTACACTTAAATGATCAGCACCCTGTAATACAAACTTTTGAACATTTTTTTTTGTGTTTTATTTTTTTTTTATGTGTGTGTAAAACTACTTTTATATATTTTATTTAATTTCATCATATATTTTTTCTTTTCAGGATTAAGTAAAGCTTTAATATAAAATATATGTTAAATTATAAAAAAAAATGCGCATATATAAATAAATTTAATAATTTTTTTTTAATTAAATAAAACATAAATAAATAAAATTAATAATAATTACTTATTATATAATATAATAAAAATCATATCCGAAAATTGTTAAATAATTCATAATACTATGTTTATATACAATAATATTAATTAATGGCTTGTAAAGATTTTGATTAATATGATAATATGCTAGTATACAATTTCATATTCAATTTATTTTAATATTTTACATAATATATTATTTTAATTATATATATATATATATATATTTGCTACCAAAAACAATATATAATACATACATTAAATATACACAATTAAATAATTTAAATATAACTATTACGTATATTATTCTAAAAAATATATTTAATTAAATAAATAAATTCAAAATATTAATATTTAAATAAACAGAAAAGTAATAATAATAATAATAATTAGAAATTAAGAAGAATTTATAACAAAAGTACTAAGACCAAAGGGAATGAATATTTATTTCTCAAGAATTCCAAAAAAAAAAAAAAAAACATTAAAATCTTATACTATAATATTAAAATATAAAATATAAAAATTCCATAAATATAATAAAATTAATAAAAACAATTAAAATTTAATATTAAAAAAAAAAGCAATAAAAACAAAATATAAATATATTTTTATATAGTTAAATATAAAAATAATTTAAATAATTCAAAAATTTGAAAAAAAAAAACCTTCATAAACCTTAAATGATTCAAAACATTCCAAAGGAAGAAGAAGAAAAAAAAGAGATTTTGTTTTTTAAAATTACTGCCGCGTGCGCGCGTACTTAAAGTTTTGGTTTTTTTAATTTTATTTAATTTATTTTATTTTTAAAAATTTATAGTATACTCTGTTAGTGGGTCATATGTTTTTTTTTTTTATTTTAAGTATATATGTCGTCTGTTATATAGATTTTTAAGATTATTATAAGTGGCTCTGTTAATATACGTGTTCCATATTGTCCGTAACTTTTATACATTTTAATAATTTTTGGTTTATTTTTCGTTCTTATGTCTGTCGCCCCTAATCTCTATCTACATAGGTATGTTTCAAAAATAATTCAATTATAATTTTATATTAATTATTCGGGATAGATTCTGTATGTCCTGTCTGTTTGTTTTTTTTTTTTTTTTTTTGGATTTTACTCCATTCTGCGTGTATGTATTTTGACAGGAGTATTTTTTGATTTCGAAATCTCATTGTTATTTTTTTTTTTTTTGTTTAACACACACCTAATCTCTAACACACTCTTTTACAATCAAGATCTTTTACCTTTTTGTTATACATATTTTCCATCGTTTCTTTTCAATTAATAAACACAAAACGAATACTTCATAAACAAGAGATTTTTTGGAAAACCGAAATTATTAAGATTATTAGAAATTTTTTTGATTTTCATTAATTTTAATCTCATTAGATTTTATATTATATTTTTTATACTTTTACAAATTAAAATTCTTTAATTTTATTTTTATGTGTGTTTATTTTATATTGGAACTAGATTTAATTTTAATATAATTTAAGATATTTTTTTAAATTTATTTTGAAATGCTCTGTTATATTTGATTTTTATATAATTTTTTTTTAAGTTTTTTTTTTTTAATAATAATTTTTTTTTTTGTTTTTTACTGCTTTGAAAAAGAGGAACGGGATTTATAAGATACAATAGTTTTTTTTCTTTTTCTATTTTCTAATTTAAAAGAAAATTAAAAGGATAACAGAACCAGGAAATTTTTACTAGATTAATTTTACTGTAAATTTTTAAGATAATTATAATTGGTTCGCCTTTTTCTCTATCTCTGCAATCTCTCTCTCTGTCTCTCTTCCTTTTTTCGATTTCTTTTTATATATGAACTAACTTAAATGTGCTAGTTCATCCGTTGTCAAATCGTATATACGTTATTATAGTTTTTTCGAAAGTACTTACTTATTTTAATTTTTTTTTTTGAAATTCTCAATTTGGTTTTTTTTTTAATTCAAAATTAATTACTTATATACAATACAAAGAAATTACATCCATTATATAATATAAAAAATTTATAATAATTTTTAATAATTAATAAAAAAAATTTAAATATTTATTGTCGTTAAAATTTTGTAATTAATTAATTAATAATAAATATCAAATAAAATATAATTATACGCGCACGCCCGCATTATGAAAATGCATAAAATAAAAGGGGTTCAACGTTCCTCTTCAAAACAAATTGTTGATTACTGTGATGTTGATGGAAATTTTCATACTAATAATAAAATAATTGGAAATAAAAATCCGAGTATTGATAGCAGTAGTGGTAATGACAATTGTAATAATAGTAGTAGAAGTGTAATTAATAATAATTCAACACGTCGAAATTATATAAGTGGTGAGTATTTTTCAATTTCAGAAAATATACTTTTTTATAAATTTATATTCGTTTGTATATAAATGCATTTAAGATTTAAATTTGCTTATATTTTCTGTTATACAAATTTCTTATTTAGTGCTCTTATTATCGATCGCATTGTGTATAACATACAATAGATAGGTTATGTGATGGCAACAAATTTTGCATATCGAGTTTTTGGTGGGAACACATTTCTCCATGGTCTGTCGGTCTGTCTGTCTGTGTACACGTGTATCTCAAGTTCGGTTGAACCGATTTTCATATGTAAGTTTATTTCCGGTATGGCACAGATTGATCAACTTTTGGGATATGTCAGGCCTCGGGAACTACATTTTTTAGCGGGCCTGTTTTACATTTTCGATTATTATGAAGAAAATATTCAACCGATTTACTTGAAATTTCATATGTAAGCTTTGCTCGATCGTCCGCAAAACCTTCTCAACTGAACGTTTACTACGGGCCGAATATACATTTTGCGTATATAAAGAAATATAATCAACCGATTTCATTAAAATTTAATATTTAAATTTTTCGTATTAAAACAATGAACATATAATTTTTTTGAAAAGATCAGGGCTCGAAAACTGGTCAGCGGGCCGATTTCACATTTTTCACCATATCTACGGAACGAATTCATGGAATTTCTTGAAATTTGATGTTTTAAATCTGGTCGGTACCGAAACTAACTGGCGAGCATTTCAGGGAATTTGGGTAACACAAAGCGAAACTTTGCTAAGAGCCAAATTTACATTTTTCTAGGTGTGTTAATTAAAAGCTTACTAATGCCCTAAAAATTGGAAAGAAGTATTTAAGAGGCATTTTTATAATATTCTGTAACACTTTCACTTAACTAGACAAAACACATTGCGGTCGGTTATGTGCTGATCATATCAGATTTCTTTATAACTTTATACATTTTAAAATTAAAAAACTTTTTTATTTTTTTTTTATGTATACTTATATAATTCTAGAAAAAGTACCTGCACGTTTAGTTTTATATTTCTTATCATGGTCCGGATTCCTTGTATCATTTATGATGAGAAATGATATAAATTTTGCTCTCTTAGCAATGGTTCGTACTAATAATACTACTTTGGTAACAGAAACAACAACAAGAATATCAACATTCTCAACAACAACAATAGATACAGCAATTAATGGTGCTAATATAACTAAAACAAATAGTAATGATTTAAATATTGCGGCGGATTCGTCTTCTTCTTCTCATTCAATTAAATTTCAAGATATTATTAAAACTAATATAACATTAATGAAATTGGAAAATATAATTGATAACAATGATGAAAATTATAAAAATTTCAACAATAATGACAATGTTATATATAAAAATGATAGTAAAAAAAATTTAAAATATTTGAATTTAACAAGAAGAACCGCAGCAGCTATTGAATCTAATATATTAAATAATAATAATAATAGCTATAGAAGTAATAATGATAATGACACATATAATGATATTAAAGTCATGTCAAAAATAATTGATACAAATGAATATGAAAATTATGGTGAATATGATTGGTCATCAACAATAAAAGCTACTATTTTAGGTTCATTTTATTGGTGCTATGTTTTATCGCAGGTATTAATAAATTTTATTTACATACATATATATATATATATATATACAAATTTTTTTATTTGATTTATTATATATAGGTTGTTGGTGGCGTTGCAACACAGTATTTTGGTACGAAAAATGTTTTTGGTTGGTCTCAATTGGCAACTGCCATATGTAGTTTATTCATTCCATATGCATCTGATATACATTATGGTGCTGTAATATTTTTACGTTCAATACAAGGTTTTGCTTCTGGTTTAACATGGCCAGCTATGTATGCAATTGTTGGATATTGGATACCAGAAATTGAACGTAGTCGTTTTATGTCTAGTTTTCAAGGTTTTAGTATTGGAATCGGTTTAACATATCCACTATGTGGATTTATAATAAAAAATTTTGGTTGGCGTTATGTATTTTATACAACTGGTACAATTGGTTGTCTATGGTGTGTTATGTGGTATTTTTTAGCATTTAATACACCAGAAGAACATCCAAGAATAACAAAATCTGAATTAAATTATATAAGTAAAAATATTAATAATGAAATAAAAAATTCACATGGAATGAAAGTACCATGGATAAATATATTTAAAAGTTTATCAGCATGGTCAATTGGTATAACGACATTTGGTAGAATATGGGTACATTATCAATTCATAATGTCTGGACCAAATTATATGAAAAATATATTAGGTTTTAGTATACAATCAAATGGTTTATTAAGTGGTTTACCATTTTTATTTTCATATATAACATCGGTATCATTTTGTTATATGGCTGATTATTTTGTAACAAAAAATTGGATGTCATTAACAAATGTACGTAAATTATTTACGGCAACATCACAAATAATACCTGGTTTAATGCTTTTAATGATTGGTTATATAAATGATAATATTATAATTGTACTTATAATATGGTTTATAGCTGTTACTTTAATACCAGCAGCATATGCTGGCGCCATGGCAAATATTGTTGATATTGCACCAAATTTGGCTGGACCAGTTTTAGCATTTGCTCAAACAATACATATGACTGCATCATTTTTATCACCTGTTATAACAGGTTTTATTGTTACAAATGAGGTAAGTTTGTGTTTGTTTTTTACCTTATAATTTTTATTTCTTAATTAAACCTTAAATTTTTTGCTCTAATTTTTTGTATTTTTGAAGAATTCAATCATGCAATGGCGTACGGTTTTTGGTCTTTCATTTGTGATAGCATTCTGTACTTATATTATGTTTCAAATTTATGGCACAGCAACAATTCAGTCATGGAATTATCCAAAAAATAAATTATCATCATTTGAGGAAAGGGAATTTTTGAGTATATCTCAAATTGGTGAAGAAGAACAACCATCAAATAATTTAACAATTATTGAAGTTGAAGATTATGATGATACAACTAGTGAGAATAATTTTACTATAAATCAAAATGATAATCATAATGAAGATGAAGATTGCAGTCCTAATAAAATTGAGGCGATTGTTGATTCTGAAAAAAGTGTTTTATATGATAATTAAATAGAGAACAATTTGTAAATGAAAGGAAGATTCAGAAATTTAAAAAAACTTACACAATAAAAGACAAAAGATAATAAAAAATAGAAAAATTTTTAATATTTTCATAAGTTTAAGTTAAGATTAAGCAGTGTAAATGATTAATAATTAGTAGGAATTAAAATTCAATAATTTCAGGAAACTAAACACTTGGTAAGCCAAAATTTCAATTCTATTCCATTACACTAAGCCTTTGAGATACGGCATTTTTGGTTCCAGAAATTTATGTCATAACTCGAATTGTCGTTTGAGAAGAAAAAAAAAATGTATGGAAACAAAAAGTGAATTAGACAAACTATTTTATAAATAATTCACCTGTTTTTTTAAAAAAGGTAACAAAGTTTAAAAGAAACAACATAATATAATAACGAAACCAAAAAAAATAAAGTTTGTAACAAAAATAAATAAAATAAAAACTGACTAAGTTGAAAATACATTTAACAAAATATATGCAGCCGAACATGCTTATTTGCATGACGCATACAAGCAAAACTCCCTTCATACGCAATGCATTTTTTGCCCCCATGTAATTTTTCCATTCACAAGAAATGAATAAGTACAAATAATTCTACCCGGAGGTATGAATATAAGCGTGTTCGATTGTAATATATTACAATATTTCTTAGCATAATATAATTGAATTACGATGTAGGTGTTTTATTAGCATTTTTCAAGGTTTTCATTCCTATTCAAGTGGCTTTGATGAATGAATTTCTCTTAAATGAAATTGAAAGAATTCAGTTATTTTAAAATTATTCGTTTTTGAGAAACGGTTGATGAGTCCTTTAAATTTAAGCACTTTCCGTTTTCAAATAGAAATTACAAATACATATAAGTTATAGTGTCGTCCGTATTAAAAAAAAATTCTACAGATGTTCAAATCCCACACATATTTTGTTTTTCTTTCTCTTTCCATCTATCAGTTTTGAAATAAAATTGTGAAACTTTACTCATAATTAGTTCTCCCGTAAAAATTTATAAAAATAAATAATTTTATTTTAAAATAATCCAAGTTATTTCCTTTATAATTTTTGCTTGCTATCTATTTTTTATTATTTTATTAATTTGGCGACGCCTGTTATTTTCGTTCAAATTAAAATTTTTCAGAAAATTATCAAAGTAAATAAGAATGTCGGCCGAATTATACCAGGTTAGCAGGAAACTAAACTCTTTGTTATCGTCATTTAATTTTAAGCTTGCTATATTTTCAATAGGCGCCTGTTATTTTCGTTCAAATTAAATTTTTCAGAAAAGTATCAAAGTAAATAAGAATGTCGGCCGAATTATACCAGGTTAGCAGGAATAATAGAAAGCAAATTTTTATTCAAGAATATTTAAAAACTAAACTCTTTGTTATCGTCATTTAATTTTAAGCTTGCTATATTTTCAATAGGCGCCTGTTATTTTCGTTCAAATTAAATTTTTCAGAAAAGTATCAAAGTATATAAAAATGTAAATAACAAAGAGTTTAGTTTTTAAATATTCTTGAATAAAAATTTGCTTTCTATTATTCCTGCTAACCTGGTATAATTCGGCCGACATTCTTATTTACTTTGATGCTTTTCTGAAAATTTTAATTTGAACGAAAATAACAGGCGCCTATTGAAAATATAGCAAGCTTAAAATTAAATGACGATAACAAAGAGTTTAGTTTTTAAATATTCTTGAATAAAAATTTGCTTTCTATTATTCCTGCTAACCTGGTATAATTCGGCCGACATTCTTATTTACTTTGATACTTTTCTGAAAATTTTAATTTGAAAGAAAGAAACAGGCGTTTATTGACAATAAGCAAGCAAAAAATTAAATGATGATAACAAAGAGTTTAGTTTTTAAATATTCTTGAATAAAAATTTGCTTTCTATTATTCCTGCTAACCTGGTATATATAATTCGGCCGACATTCTTATTTACTTTGATGCTTTTCTGAAAATTTTAATTTGAACGAAAATAACAGGCGCCTATTGAAAATATAACAAGCTTAAAATTAAATGACGATAACAAAGAGTTTAGTTTTTAAATATTCTTGAATAAAAATTTGCTTTCTATTATTCCTGCTAACCTGGTATAATTCGGCCGACATTCTTATTTACTTTGATACTTTTCTGAAAATTTTAATTTGAAAGAAAGAAACAGGCGTTTATTGACAATAAGCAAGCAAAAAATTAAATGTAAATAACAAAGAGTTTAGTTTATAAATATTCTTGAATAAAAATTTGCTTTCTATTATTCCTGCTAACCTGGTATAATTCGGCCGACATTCTTATTTACTTTGATACTTTTCTGAAAATTTTAATTTGAAAGAAAGAAACAGACGCTTATTGACAATAAATATAGCAACCACAAAATTAAATCTCTATAATATATATACCAGGTTAGCAGGAATAATAGAAAGCAAATTTTTATTCAAGAATATTCAAAAACTGAACTCTTTGTTATCGTCATTTAATTTTAAGCTTGCTATATTTTCAATAGGCGCCTGTTATTTTCGTTCAAATTAAATTTTTCAGAAAAGTATCAAAGTATATAAAAATGTAAATAACAAAGAGTTTAGTTTTTAAATATTCTTGAATAAAAATTTGCTTTCTATTATTCCTGCTAACCTGGTATAATTCGGCCGACATTCTTATTTACTTTGATACTTTTCTGAAAATTTTAATTTGAAAGAAAGAAACAGACGCTTATTGACAATAAATATAGCAACCACAAAATTAAATCTCTATAATATATATACCAGGTTAGCAGGAATAATAGAAAGCAAATTTTTATTCAAGAATATTTAAAAACTAAACTCTTTGTTATCGTCATTTAATTTTAAGCTTGCTATATTTTCAATAGGCGCCTGTTATTTTCGTTCAAATTAAATTTTTCAGAAAAGTATCAAAGTATATAAAAATGTAAATAACAAAGAGTTTAGTTTTTAAATATTCTTGAATAAAAATTTGCTTTCTATTATTCCTGCTAACCTGGTATAATTCGGCCGACATTCTTATTTACTTTGATACTTTTCTGAAAATTTTAATTTGAAAGAAAGAAACAGGCGTTTATTGACAATAAGCAAGCAAAAAATTAAATGTAAATAACAAAGAGTTGTTTTTAAATATTCTTGAATAAAAATTTGCTTTCTATTATTCCTGCTAACCTGGTATAATTCGGCCGACATTCTTATTTACTTTGATACTTTTCTGAAAATTTTAATTTGAAAGAAAGAAACAGACGCTTATTGACAATAAATATAGCAACCACAAAATTAAATCTCTATAATATATATACCAGGTTAGCAGGAATAATAGAAAGCAAATTTTTATTCAAGAATATTTAAAAACTGAACTCTTTGTTATCGTCATTTAATTTTAAGCTTGCTATATTTTCAATAGGCGCCTGTTATTTTCGTTCAAATTAAATTTTTCAGAAAAGTATCAAAGTATATAAAAATGTAAATAACAAAGAGTTTAGTTTTTAAATATTCTTGAATAAAAATTTGCTTTCTATTATTCCTGCTAACCTGGTATAATTCGGCCGACATTCTTATTTACTTTGATACTTTTCTGAAAATTTTAATTTGAAAGAAAGAAACAGACGCTTATTGACAATAAATATAGCACCACAAAATTAAATCCCTATAATATATATACCAGGTTAGCAGGAATAATAGAAAGCAAATTTTTATTCAAGAATATTTAAAAACTGAACTCTTTGTTATCGTCATTTAATTTTAAGCTTGCTATATTTTCAATAGGCGCCTGTTATTTTCGTTCAAATTAAATTTTTCAGAAAAGTATCAAAGTATATAAAAATGTAAATAACAAAGAGTTTAGTTTTTAAATATTCTTGAATAAAAATTTGCTTTCTATTATTCCTGCTAACCTGGTATAATTCGGCCGACATTCTTATTTACTTTGATGCTTTTCTGAAAATTTTAATTTGAACGAAAATAACAGGCGCCTATTGAAAATATAGCAAGCTTAAAATTAAATGACGATAACAAAGAGTTTAGTTTTTAAATATTCTTGAATAAAAATTTGCTTTCTATTATTCCTGCTAACCTGGTATAATTCGGCCGACATTCTTATTTACTTTGATACTTTTCTGAAAATTTTAATTTGAAAGAAAGAAACAGGCGTTTATTGACAATAAGCAAGCAAAAAATTAAATGATGATAACAAAGAGTTTAGTTTTTAAATATTCTTGAATAAAAATTTGCTTTCTATTATTCCTGCTAACCTGGTATATATAATTCGGCCGACATTCTTATTTACTTTGATGCTTTTCTGAAAATTTTAATTTGAACGAAAATAACAGGCGCCTATTGAAAATATAACAAGCTTAAAATTAAATGACGATAACAAAGAGTTTAGTTTTTAAATATTCTTGAATAAAAATTTGCTTTCTATTATTCCTGCTAACCTGGTATAATTCGGCCGACATTCTTATTTACTTTGATACTTTTCTGAAAATTTTAATTTGAAAGAAAGAAACAGGCGTTTATTGACAATAAGCAAGCAAAAAATTAAATGTAAATAACAAAGAGTTTAGTTTATAAATATTCTTGAATAAAAATTTGCTTTCTATTATTCCTGCTAACCTGGTATAATTCGGCCGACATTCTTATTTACTTTGATACTTTTCTGAAAATTTTAATTTGAAAGAAAGAAACAGACGCTTATTGACAATAAATATAGCAACCACAAAATTAAATCTCTATAATATATATACCAGGTTAGCAGGAATAATAGAAAGCAAATTTTTATTCAAGAATATTCAAAAACTGAACTCTTTGTTATCGTCATTTAATTTTAAGCTTGCTATATTTTCAATAGGCGCCTGTTATTTTCGTTCAAATTAAATTTTTCAGAAAAGTATCAAAGTATATAAAAATGTAAATAACAAAGAGTTTAGTTTTTAAATATTCTTGAATAAAAATTTGCTTTCTATTATTCCTGCTAACCTGGTATAATTCGGCCGACATTCTTATTTACTTTGATGCTTTTCTGAAAATTTTAATTTGAACGAAAATAACAGGCGCCTATTGAAAATATAGCAAGCTTAA